ATATAATTAAAAAATATAATTTCATTAATTTATATATTAATTACAATTTTATATTAAAAAAGTATATATTTTAAAATATATTATATATATAATATATTAATTATAACTAATATATTATATTAGTTATAATTATAAGTAATATATATACTTAATTAAGTAACATATTTAGTATATAATAATAAATTATATAATTTTTTAATTTTTTAAACATGTATAAATTATATATATTTAATAATTAAATATTTATTTAATATATAAATTATATTAGAATTTAGATGTTATGTAATAAATTATAATTTATTATCTTATAGTTAGAACTTAGAAATTATTATGTTATATAATATAATACTAATTATCTCTAACAAAATACTAATGAGTGATGTTATTAAAAATTGTAGTCTCTTTTTTTTTTCTTAAATACGCTCATTTTCAACTCTGTAATAAATTTAAAAATACAAAATAATATTCTTAATTAAATATGAAATTCATAAATATCAATTTAAATAACAAATTGAATGGAAAAATTTGATTCAGTTAGAGCAATTGATTAAGACCGATTAATTCAGTATGATTAGACCCTCGACAACATCAGTCATATCACAGACCATCTCTTTAGATGAAGCGCTAGGTCCGCACATCTATCGGTGACCCTCGGCATACACAATAATTGTAGATCATGCACCCAATTTGGACTTTTATCTCAAAAAGGTAGTTGGTCGCTTTAGTTTTCAAAAGTCTCATAACAGCCTTAGCCAAATCTTCTATACAACATCTGTAATGTTCCCCTCGGTGATACCTCGAAACCCTCTACTTTCCTTTTTTTTTTTTTTTTTTCGAGATGATCATATCGAAACCACATATAATTGCATTTTTTCCCGCACGATAGCTTCTTCTGAAATAGTAGTAATAAATTCTAATTTATAAGATAATAATTATAATGTATAACATAATAATTTATAACTTTTAACAAATTAGTAATAATTATAATTTATAAAACAATCAATTCTAATATATTCCATGATAATTTCTAATATCTAACATAGTAGTACTAAATATACCTCATAAGAAAATCAATTCTAACATATAATACAATAATTTCAAACTTCTAACATAATAGTAATAAATCATCTATCTATATATATATATATATATATAATAAGAATTACTATTTACCAAAAATAGTAAGCAAAAAATCTGCCAACATTAATTGCATACCATTTCAGGCAAGATTTGTTTTTATTTTTTATTTATTAAGTGAGAAACATTTAAATATGCCTTCAATCATGGATACTTAGTTTTGGTAACTAAATTGCTCAATTTTGGTACAAATAATGCTTTTAAAAATTTGAGTTTTATTTCAATACCAATCCTTTTTAAAATTTATTGATATCAACATTCATTAATCTATATATATTAATATATGTTGATGGAAAATTCATTTGTAGAAAGTTTCATTTATTTTTTGGTCAAATTTGTTGACTTACCGCTTAAGAAAAATATGTCATATTTTTGTAAATCGATTTACTAAAGCCTTTTAAATTATTTTTGATAGATTTGTTTTGTTTAATATGTACTCAATTATATTTTATATTTTACATGTGAGATATTTAGAGCTATTTTACGAAGATACCTGCTCTATTTAATAAAATATCCATTAACTTTTTTGTTCTCAAACCAACTTCAGAACACCATTTTAATTATATCAAATTTTTTTTGTATTTTATTTTAGTTAATATGGAATCAAATGCATTCCATATTTTAATATTTAGATCAATTTTAAAAAGATATCATCATATTTACATATTGGATTTGTAGATCAATTTTTTTTTTTAAAAAAATTCGTATTCCAAATCTACAAATATCCATGTATTTTTTTTTCAAACCCATTTGAAAATGGTGTATTAATTATTTTAAAAATATTTTTGTATTTTACTTTGATTAATATGGAATTAAGTGCATTCCATATTTTACGAATTTTGTAGCTATTTAACAAAAAATCCGTGCTCTAAGTTTACAAATATTTGTGCACTTTTTTTTTTTTTTTTTTTT